AAAGCGTAATTCCATTAGGCCTAAAACGTTGTTGACGATCTGAATGATTTAACGGTTTTCCACGAACAGCTTGTGAGGTCTAATTACGGTGTGTCATTCAAGCAATATAAAAAAAATCGAATTGCAATAGTGTCCTTTATGGCCTTCATGGGAGCCATTATGGTATATAAACTTACGGCATTATTTTTTGGCCTGTATTTGCATCCAAGAGGTTACCGTCTTATTCTGGATCGCCATGTATATACAGCTTTTCAAAGACACAAAGGTTTTCGCGAACTTGCTTTTATTATTTGTCTAACAGCTGTCAAATATATTTGACAGCTGTTAACCTATAAACCAAACATGCCCCCCTTGGATTGTGATATATGGGCGGTCATGCTGTGCACGATCAAGACTCGGAAGAGTCAGGAATGATGACAGCATGACATCCGGATGCAGATGCAGGTGGTTCGACATATACACGAAGACATAGAAAAAGGCAGTTAACTTGGTTCGAGCATGTAAAACGGATGAACGCGGATAGATGACCCAAGAAGGTCCCAGAATGGATTCCACCAGAAGAAAGAAACAGGGGTCGTCGTCCAAGAAGGCGCTGGAAAGATGACATTGCTCAAGAGATGACCACGAGGAACTTAAAGGAAGACAAGGTTTTTGACAGGAAATGATGGAAATCGGGGACGGAGAGACGGCAGCAGCTGTAAAAAAATCCGTTATATATAAAAGCAAACCAACCCTAACAACACAATCTGCTTGTACATTTTCAGGCTAAATTCCCATTCCCACAAGAATTTGAGGTTTTTGAGCAAATAATTGGAGACCATTAATGTATGCAACCTATTTTGTACTGTTTTCTCATTTGTAAGTTCGTTTTGGCAGTTTCGCATGTAGTGTCAGTGAATCTACTGAATGATTGTGACTGTGTACTTTCGGCTCTCATCCATTATGACATTACTCATTGTATTTATAATACGCATCAACTGTTAGTTGTTCCCCCACATTTTAATCATCCTATTTACTCAGATTGATAGTTTAATGTTTATGTCCTTTTTATGAGCTGTATAAAGAATCTGTTTGGAATATCAACCCTTGAGAGGAAGTATTGATGATAGGATTGTTTGGTAGTTACAGTATCATCAATAAAATCATCAATATGAATCTGATGCAAATAAATGTAAATTTGAGCATACACTTGCAGTCTTAAGATAAATACTATATTGTCAACAATTGCGCAAGAAACAATTTATGTTATTTACAGTCGTGGAACAGGTGCTGTTTTTTTTTACGAAAAAGAGCTGCGATAAAGTGAACCTAACTTTGTGCATTCACATGGAAGCTGTGGTGGCGTCTTGCTGTACATTGTTAGATGCTCTTTTGTACCGTCTAATCATTATTCTTCTGACATTTGCATCTATTTCTATTCACCCGATCCGAAAGCAGAAACCTTTAGTTGCGTTCGATTTACACACACTCTCAGATACGCTTTTAAGCTTGCTCAGTTTATTTGCACGCTCTATATACACATAACGCATGTCCTAAAAGTTTTGGCACAAAATTCATTGGCTTTAATTTCAACAATCACAAAATAATATCCTATGGAGACAAAAGTTTGTTTACTTATTTTACTGCCAGTTGACATTTATTTATTTTGAAGTTTAAGATGTCGTGCATTTACTGCACAGAGAGACTGTTCAAAAGAGCGGCTGGCCATGAGTTTGTTCTTGGATGAAAATTATAAAGAAATTAAAACGTATGGTGGAACCTAAACACAACATTAAAATTTTATTGATGATAATAATAATAATCATAAATAAGCAGAAGTAAATCATAGCAGATGCTCAAAATGTCTGTTATTTTGTAGGTAAAACCAGACTCTTTTCTGTGCATTGATCGCTGCTCGTTTTATTTCTCTTCTCAGTCAGTCAGTCTGGTCTGGTATACAAAACAAATTAATGAAGTCTGATAATTTCAAGGCTTACCTATGGAAATTCTGTTTTTCGGGAATAAGTAAGGGTTGGCCATGTCGATGTATGAATTCAGTATTAAAATATCTGTTCATCTGCAGAAAATACAATATAGCGTCCTTAAGAAATAATTAGGTTGATGCTGGAGAGACGAAACGTCATATTGGAATTTATGCCGTTTTGTTGAGGAGAAAAGTGGTAATGTTAATGTCCAATTTATTTTGAAATCCTACCACAAAGTCAAGAAAAAATTAAAACGATTTTGGGACAACTCGACTTTCTCCGGAAGTACTTTGAATTTCAAAACTTTCTAAGAGGCATTTTGTTGATTACCTAAATACGCAATCTTGCGCCCGCTTAAGAGACTTAGTATCTCTTGGGAGGGTCTATTTGAAATACCTTGTATATTTAAATGCGTTGTGAAGTACAGGCAAGAGATACGAGCATACAAAGCTAACGCCGGTTGACACTGTAATATTATTTTGAAAATATTCCAGCAAATTTTTATCGGTTTGCCATATTTTTTATTCATTTTCCCTCCTGCGTTATACTGCTCTTTTTCTGAATCCTCAATTTCATTTCGCTCTATGCATGGCTCTATAGGTAGATTTATCTTTTGCGCTACATCTGTAAATATACCTATATTTTTGTCCTCTTGCAATACGACACTTGGTCGCTTAAAGCTATCATCTTTCATGCTTTTTACTACATGTCTTCTTGTCGGATTTGTTAACGGAGGTGCTCTCTTTTGTCTACTGGAATTTTCTTCCACTAACCTGACTTCAACACTTTGAGGGAAAACAGGACATGTCAGGAATAGTTTTTTAAAGGCCTATTTGTTCTTGCTACGGGTTTATTTATTATTAGTGGGGAGTTTCCTTTATCCAATACAAGTGGATTATCCTCAAATTCTGACAACGTTGGTATTTCAGCAACTACTGATTCATTGGTGGTGTTGGTCATCGATTCATATAAAATTCTAGGGATGTCCTATGTATTGAATGATATTGAATAGGAGCGAGACATTTTTTATACTTGTCCTGTACTGAAGAATGGACCTTGGAATGTTTTGTTTTTTAGAGACGCTTCTTTGAGTTGGCATTTCTGTAATAAGGCAAGTACAATTATTGGCACCCCATATTATGTGTTGGCATGGTGCAAATTAGAATTTCTTTTTCATAAAATTCTAGTCTGATTTATCCAAAATAATTTAAAAACATGATTTGTTTATCGACATCCTATAAATATAGTTGTTGGCCCCTCAGAATTTAGCATATTTTATCGACAAAAACAATATTTAATACAAAAAACAAAAATTGCTGAACCTATACAAAACATTCTGCCAGCGCTACTACAAATTTTGTTAGAAGTTATTAAATGTCTAGTAGCAGCATCACCTTAACTGATTTTTGGTTCTTATAGTGATATTTTAGGGTGCACAGACACGTGCACACTCATACTGATCTGACTGATCTGATTAGGTATTAAAAATCCACGACAATAAGTTAGAGCAATATTGCCAGATTAAGGCTGGAAAACTCATATTAGCGAATAACAACGTAGTTTGCTTAGTATTATATTCGTCAAAGATAACTGTCGCAGTGCCAATAATTGAATGGTTTACCCTATACAATAGTAAAATATGAATTCTCTGTATATCAAATGAAAAAAATGTTCGATGAAAAAAATTAATAATTTCTATCGATTTCACGTACTTAGCAAATTTAGTCACGAAAACTGTTTCATGTTTGATAGAGATAATTCTAACGATCTGATAAAATTTAACAAGAACCGCTTTCGTTAGGTTTACGCTGGATTAGAGGATTGTAAGTTGCAATTAATGGAGACTTTTAGATGAAATAGGCCAGAAAAGTACATCCAATTTATTCTCCTGCAAGGTTCGTTGGACAGTGCATGAAACGTCTTACGATATTAATCCCACTTGCCAGCTGCAATTATAGCTTGTTATACCAATTCTAATTTCGCTAGGTGTTGTATGCAATTATAAAGATGAGCTTTTTTTATTTTCACTTGATTCTTCGTCTAGTACCCTCCTTCCTTAACGAAGTTGTGAGTCATTTAAGAGCTTTTGTTCATGTGGTGTATACGGGGTTTTGAGGGGAATTTGACAAATAAGGGTGTGTAAATAATATACAACATTATGTAGCCTACTTTGAGAGACATCTGATGATTGCGCCAAACACTGATGGCATTTTTCAGTTTCATTTGATAACGTTACCTATAGGTTTTCCTTCCTTAGATGGCGCAACTTAACTTATTTTGTCAAATACTTGTACCATCGGCAAAATGTGCAGTGTCTGCAACCTGGCGACGTGGTTACTACAGATGCATAATCAAAATGCAGATTTTATTGATTTGGCTGTGTAGTGAGATGAATCGCTTTCTACGAGGAGTGAAACCTTCAATTCTCATAATGAAGATTTCGTTAGAAAATCCCCGCTCTGTAAGAATCCACTCGTTTCAGCACATGTTTTTCTAGAAATTTCTGGTGCGGCATTTTCAATAGCCAACTGTTTATGCACGTATTACCACAACGTTTATGTAAATGCAAACTCTTACTTAGCTTTTCTAGAGAATTACATAGAACATGTGCTAGACGATGTTCCGTTAGCAACGAGCGTACGAATGTGATATCAGCAGAAAGACGGTGCCCCACCGCATGTTCGTCCTGACATAACCGCATGGTTAAATAATCATTTTAGACAACGATGGATTGACAGAAACGGAGCCTTCCATTGGCCTGTGAGGTCTCCTGATTTGAACCTTCTGGATTTCTTTTTGTGGAGCGCCTTTAAACAACTAGTGTATGCTGAACAAACTAATACTGTTGATCAGTTACAAGACATAATAGATAATGCGTTTCATCTAATTCAAACCACAACAAATTTTGCGGAAATACGTTTTTCTTTATTAAAAAGGTGCCGCACTTGTATCCGTCAGAATGGTGGTCTTTTGAACATTTATTGAAATAAAGCTTTGATTATATAATTGTTTTTTTATTTTTACGAAAACAATGCACTCTAGGAAAATACACAAGAGTAATTATTTGTAGCAAATTGAAGGTAAAACTCGAATAAATTGCGCTTTAAAAAAACAGTGAGTAGGTGACGGAGGCCGAAAGCAAGACCTCCCGGGGTGACGTAGGGGTGTGGGGGGTAGGCGGCGAGGGTCATGTTTGAGTTCTGAGTCCTTTCAATGACCATGCAAATTGTTAAACCTCTCAGCAGTTCGGTTCTCTATCAAGAACGTGTTGTATAATAGAAATGAGTTGACGAAGGTCTTGCTTTCGACCTCCGTCATCTACTACAGTGACGTACTATTTTTATTAGGAAAAATAATACCACTAATCTCCTGTATCTCGCCACAGGTGCACGTTAATTTTAACTGAAGACTTTTGAATGTGGACAATACTCGGGTAAATCCACATACCAAATTTTAGTTCATTTCAGTTGACGATTTTGAAGATATTAAAAAAAGGTTTTTTATTTTTGAGATTCAACACCTTGTATCTTTTTAATAAAGCCCTCGAGGAAAAATGTTACAAGAAAAGACACCCCTTAAAATGCAGTCGTGTGTATGATGTTTAATTTTTGTTCACGACTTGTGAATCACCCTATACATATAGTGAAATACGTTTTAAGCAAAGTTATTCAAAAATAGGACTACAGCGCTCATTATCAAAAAGCTAAATTGTCTAGTTCCAGTACTTCCTGCTACCGCAGCTGTAGCTCTACCTGTAGCAGAGCACTCATGTTTCCATTGGTCTACATTTATCAATATCGGAGCAACGGTGGCTTTAAACTCATCGTAAGTGAAACTAGTTTTGCAGTTATCTATTCTAATTGGTTCTGCGTCAGAGGTACTATTCTTCTTGTAGAGCAAATCAAGTCGATATGTTCCATCCTTCGCCTTGTAAACTTCCCAAAACACCATGGCAGTGAATTCTGGTGGCTCATAGTCATAACAGTCTATGGTATTCAGTACAGATGCGACTGTGGTGTCATGCCCTGATATCACCAGGAACTTTGGCCTTTCACCTTGAATAACGCCATCTAGATAGTTGACCAAGTAGTTATAAAATGTTCCTGACGTAAGTCTTTGTATTTCTTTAGTATACGTTGGTACAGCAAATGCAACTCCTGCAAGATGCTTCAAATGTTTGTGGTTCATTTTATTATACCATTCGGGTATATAAGACGCATTGTGCATACTATAGACATACATGGTTCCAACAATTGTTTTTATCGAATCAACATCTATGTCTTCCCAACCAGTATTCTCAATTATTGTGCTGAAAATATCCTGATATCTTTCCCTCAGCTCTTGAAATACCATCTGAGTTACCTTTCCATAGAGAGCGTCGTAATGGGGGCATTTAGCTTTCATGTTAATAAAACTATCATATTCATACGGGATCGTGTGTACTGGGATGGGCTCCCATAACAGGTGTTCAAACCAAATGTCTTCTTTGGGTGGTGGATATAGTCCTGCCAGCATAGACTCGGCAGTCATAATGGCTCTATCTACATCTGACGATATGACGTGTATCTCTTCGAATTTGTATTCATTGGCGAGAAAGGTACGGTATCGATGCCTTATATATTTCCCAAGCTCGTATGCCCTCAATTTGCCGACCTGTAATAAAAAAATATATTTGTAATTAGTATAACATTGACACAGCACATTGCTACACAGTGGTCATGTATCAATAACCGATTGTATATGCTTTCGCTTTGATTTAGCAGAAACTGTTATTTTATGCTAACATTTTGATTTTTTTTTCGCGAAAATGACAAATAACAATAAGGGTGCGTTCGAATTTCGAATTGACGCACTACGGAACACGAAGCGAGAGCAGAGCGAAAAGAGTATAATAATCAATAATGATGATGATTATAATAATAATAATAATAAATAAATGGAAATCAGCAACCAGCAACGGCTAAGGAGCTCGCGGACCGTTAGCCTGCGAAAACCTTACCCAGAACCACCTCCAGCGCAAGACCTACATCCCACAGATTCGGTTCAAGGGGTCAGTCTTCAAGCACGACCTGATCAGATGAATAATCTTAGAAGACGAAGATGGTCAAAGGAGGAGACCTATGAAGTGATGTGGGCATCCTACAGTGCGATTGCAAGAAAAATCGCAGCTCCAAAAACAAGAGACACTTTCGAGATCTGGAAAAATCGTAATCCCAATATTATGCCAGACATGAATGCACGAAAACTGTCAAACCAGCGACGTGTAATAGAAAGGAATTTAACGGAAGCAGAACGACAGAAAATAAAATGCGGTGTGTATTCATACCTTCACCAGCAAGAAAATGAACCTACACTACCATTTACTATCATAGAGAGTAATGAAGGAGACCTACCTGAGAATAACTACACTCATAGAGCGACTAAGAACGACGAATTATCTGAGAATAACGATGCCAGGTGGCATGCTCAGGGTGAGGCAGTTGAACTGGAAGAACCGATTCTTGAAAAATATCATGATGTACAGGCTGCTTGGATTGAACACCACAAAGGGATAAAAAACCAAAGAATGGTAAACACCTGAACGAAGATATTAGAAAAGCGAAGAGAGCACTAGCTAAAATCTGCAGAGATAGACGGTTAACAATAACTGATCTCAATCATCTAACATATGCTTCTGCAGCTATAATAGCGGCAGAGGAAGATGATAATAATAACAGCCCCAGGACTAAGGAGAGACCTGAAGGCCCCCGATGGAAGATGCGCCTAAAGATCAAAATTGCGCAAATTCGAAAAGAAATATCCATTTTAAGCAGAGAGTGGTTTTCAGTCACGTTTTAAATAAAGCTGACCGAATAAGCGCTATTCATCGCTAAGTGACCTAATAAACACACTAAAAATGAAACTGCAAGCGAAGGCTCAGATATTGCGGCGATATACAAGACGTGTCGATCAATACAAACAGAATAGGCTATTCCAAGCAAATCCCAAGAAATTTTACAGGAGTCTAAAGGAAGAAGTACAAGTACAAGACCCACCACCAAAAGAAGATGTCGACTCATTTTGGAGATACATCTTAGAGCAAGAGATACCTCACAACAAAAAATCTGCCTGGATTGAGCAAGAAAGGCGAAACAACAACCATATTCTCACCTCTCAATGGCATGACCTTACCGAAAACGAAGTTAAGGAAGCCATTAGGTTTTTTTTATACTCCAACCACCACGAAGGCCTAAGACCTAAACACCCATGGGGTACCGTGGGGCTATAGGGGGATACAGGGGAAAGGGGGAACGCCACACAGACTCTGGCGACGGAACACGTGTGCATGCAACATGCATACATTCTGGCCCCGCCTACGAGATCCGCCGGGTGGTACCTCCGCGTTCGACAGTCAGAGACAGTCAGAGACCGTCTACCACCTACGGACAATCACAACATCCAAAGCCAAGAGAAAAATTTGTCCTAGGACGGGTTTCGAACCAGCACAGCGCAGGGCTACTGATCAGGAGACCAAAGAGTCTACTACTGCGGCCACCGCTGCTGCCTTCTTACAAAATTGGAAAGCACCAGAGCCAGATAAGATCTATAAGTTCTGGATAAAATCCTTCAACGCACTGCACTGTCTTCTGGCTGTTGCTATGAGCAATTTGACTATACACCCTAACAACACTCCACATTGGTTGACAACTGGTATCACATATTCGCTGTACAAAGGCAAAAATTCTAAAGAGGCAACAAATTATCGTCCAATTACCTGCTTACCCACCATGTATAAGGTCCTTACTTCACTTATTTCTAATAGACTATATGACCATCTGTCCTCTAACAACATTCTTCCGTCAGAACAAAAAGGCTGCCGTCGATCAACTCAAGGCTGCAAGGATCAGTTACTCATAGACAAAATGGTAGTTGAAGATGCCAAGAAGAGAAAACGAAATCTTATCATAGCTTGGATAGATTATGCCAAGGCATTCGCTATTATACCTCTTAGTTGGAACCTTGAAGCTCTGAGTTTATATGGGGTTAATCCGACTGTTGTGAAGTTTCTCTAATCCTCTATGGAGAAGTGGAATACCGAATCACCGCTGCATCACGCTGAAGGGTGTATAAAAACTGATAAAGTAAGAATCCACAGATGGATATTATAAAGAGACTCCTTGTCACCGCTGCTATTCTGCAGCTCCCTGGTTCCACTGAGTAATGCTCTGAATGCTTATAAATCTGGATACGAGGTCAGGCAGGGTTCCTATATAAGTCACCTATTATACAGGGTGACTTTGAAGTTGAGTCATTAATTTTCAAATAATGATTGTAGAAGGAAGATAAACCAAAATATGTGTGTAAAAATAAAAAAAAATGTTACCTTGTTTTATAAAGTATCCTTCCGACAAGTATTTCAGTGCGAACCTGTATTTGATCGTGCGGTCTTGGAGCACCGGCATGCTCTCCCCTGTGAGGTCTTAAGTCACCTGATTCACGAGCCCTTTGTACTACATTCAGCATTTTCGTAAACATGTGCCATTTTTGATTTCGTTTGAGCCACGCAACAGACACCACTATTCACTCACGCGTTACCGACTGACACTGACTGTATACAACTGAATAAAATAATTGTAAAAACATCGTTCCAAATTCTTTCGCTTTTTTGTTTCCGATGCGATGAACCGATAAGGCGGATTATATCCGTGGTTGCCAAACACGAGCACATAATATTATTATTGAGACAGGGCGTACTCAAACTTCCAAAGGGCTATAACTTTGTTACTTTAATTTTACCAGAAAAATGGTAAAGGAAAAAACATTTCTTTTGATCAGATCTACTCACTGTTAAAATAAATGACTCAACTTCGAAGTCACCCTGTATATGGATGACCTCAAGTTATTCGCATCCAGCAACAAGCAGCTAGCTAGAAAGCTAGACATTGTGAATGGGTTTACTGAGGACATATGCATGGAGTTTGGCCTGGAAAATGTAAAAGGATCACGATTACCAGAGGAAAGATCTCAATGAATGTAAAACAAATACCTGAAAATAGAGCAGGATTTGACTACCTTGATCCAAGTGAAACCTATAAATATCTTGGCGTTCATGAAAGTGATGAGGTACATCATGAATCTATGAAAGAAAATATAAAGAAGGAATACTATGGTCGGTAATGCAGTATAGCTTTGGAATATCGAACTGGAGCGGAACATATATTGAAAAAATAGATAGAAAAGCCAGGAAACTGTTAACAAAGATCGGGGAAGCCATGAAAAGACAATATGCACACCAATTGAACGAAGATCAGTCAGCGGACAAATTGAAACTCAGAGTAAAGGAGGCCATGCGAACAGAAAAATTCAACGCCCTAAAATCGAAACCACTTCAAGGACAGTCCTATAATAACCTACACAGAACCAATGTAGATAAACACATGCCCCTGGATGGGATGAAAAGTACAGGATTGAAGGCGAAGACTGAATGTCTACTGATTGCTGCACAGGACCAGGCACTTAACACGCGCTACCACAGAAGAACGGTCCTGAAACAGAACTTCGACAGCAAATGCAAAATATGCCATCAATGTTAGGAACATATGGGCCACATTATTTCAGGCTGCTCAATACGGGCACCAACAGAATACACCGAAAGGCACAACAACGTCGCTAAATACACACACTTGGCTATCCTCAAGTAGCATCAAGTACAAGTTAGCAACAACTAGTATGATCATTCTCCTGAAGCAGCAGTAGAGACAGACGTAGCATCAATTATGTACGAGAAAGGAGTCATTACCGACCGTATGATTTCCACCAACCGACCTGATACTATTTACCATAATAAAACACAGAACACATGCCTGCTAATTGAGGTATCTGTACCAGACCACAACAACATCAACACCAAAGAAGCGGAAAAGGCCAGAAAATACAAAGACCTCGAAACCGAAATATCGCGCATGTGGAAGACAAAGACAAGAACGGTACCCGTGATCATCGGAGCTTTGGGGACTGCCACTATGTCATTCAAGAACAACATAAAATAACTCCCCGTAGATGCTTTTGCAACACAAATTCAAAAGATAGCACTGCTAGGAACAGCCCACATCTTGCGGAAAACCCTTTCCAACTAAATACCTTAGAACTCAGGCAGAGTTCCGGTCAAGCTCATCCCTTCCTCTAGGACGTGCAATACAGTATAATAATAATAATATAATAGTAATAATAGTATAATAGTAATAATAATATAGAATAGAGAAGATAGAAAAACAGCCTGGAAGAGAAAGGCTTTGCATGGAAGATACCAAGCAAATCTAGACTCTGAAAGCGTTGATAAGAGGTGGTCGATTCACTATGCATATGCTGGCCAACTTTACCCAGGAACTGAAGGATACATCGTCGCCATTTAGGACCAAGTCATACCTACAAAAAATTACCTCAAATATATTGTGTCAAGGATTCAAACGATGTGGCCAAGTTTGAGAAACCATCGAGCACATCACAGGAGGATGCAGCACACTAGCAGCTACATATTATAAACGACGACAAGATGCTGTAGGAAAGATAGTTCACCATGGCCTTGCTGTTAGGCACAATCTTATCCTGGAGAGATGGTTTGTTCATGAGTATGTACCATCCAGTATAATCTATAACCAAACTACAAGTTGTATTGGGACAGGTCCATCCTTACAGACAGAACTGCCCCTGCAAGTAGACCAGATCTACTATTATAGGATATTAAAAAAAAGAAGTTTGGATAGTAGACTTCGCAGTCGCCAATGACCATAGTATAGAGTCAAATGTCAGAAACAAGGTAGAGAAATATAGGAAATTAGCTCAGAACCTCAAAGAGCAATGGGGCCTCGCCCAAGTAGAAATATTTCCGATGATAGTATCCGCCTCTGGCATAATTCCCCTCAGCTCAAAAAATCTCTAGAGAAACTGGATCTTATGCTACGTTGATTGCTAAGATGCAAAAGGCTGCTATTCTTAATACGAGTACTTGCACAATTGTAAGAGAAGTAATGGGAAGTTGCTAAAAGCAATAATGTTAGCCAAATGCGCTCTGATACTCAACTATCTGTGTGTTTGGATACCTTTTACTCTGTACAAGAGTAGAGAATATGGACCCAGGGGGAAGAAGAAAAAGAAGAAAACCTCAAGTTAAAACCTTCTGGAGGGGTAACCTTGAACAGGAAGTTCACCATAAGCCCGCCTCATGGATTGAACGTGAGAGGAATGGCTCTGAATACATTGAGCCCAAAACATGGCCATAGCTTTCGATTAAATAAATACAGTGAACAAAACGCAGAACTGGAAGTTCCCGGGATCTGACAAATTACCAAACTTTTGGCTCGAGCAACTATTGTTCCTTATGAAAAATTAGTTTGGTATCATATGCACTACGAATTCTTCATTGTTGACGACGGAAATTGTACGAGATAACGAAAAGCTAATTTTTTCAGATATATTAATACTGTAATTTTTTTCTGTTCTGTAATGATGCAATTCTCTAGCCTCAAAATTTGGTGTAGAAATACTGTTTTTACGATTAAAAAAAGAAATACACACGAAAAACAAATACAAATATGGAAAAATACGAACTTTTGCTCTTTACTCACGTTTAACATCTGCCCAAAACCTTTTGGCCAATACTTCTTATCAAAATATTTGTCGTTTGGAAAAGACTCAAGCGGACCTCTATCACCATGTCTGAAAAGCTGAAATCAAGTTTGCAACCTGTGAGTGTAATATGAGAAACTTTCTATAATCGTAGTTATTGTATTGCCTATACCATTTGCATAAGCTATTTATAGACTAATCAGCTTTACATAGCTATGGCTTGAATTAGGTTTGAAACAAGAAGATATATAGATTTCAAAATATTTTGAAATACCAATAAGATTTTTCAAAAGACATTTTTCAGATTAAAATTTGTGTCTAGGCGTGTGCAAAGCATTATCTAAGAGCACATTTAAAACTACACGTGCACATGTTAAAATTATCATATATTTACTGCATTGCAGCTATCGTTTCGATGACAACATTGTGGCTTAAAATTTATAATTATCTATAATATTATAACTAACTAGTTTCAAAAACATATAAATCTATTTACCAGTGCTGTAGCGACAAGTTCATCTTTTTCATCATTCCCTTCCGAAGTTGCCAATAGGCCAAGAACACTTAAAACCAACACTCGTGCAACTAGTCCCGCCATACTTTCCGAACTGATATCTTTACATATTTTCACGTTTTTTTATCGTTTTGTATGTTTAGGCTAGGAGGAAGTCTTCGGTTTTTAATTGGAAAAACCCTCTCAGAAAAATATACGCCACATGATTACAATAACGTCAAACAAGACTGTGACCAGTTAAACTGGCCTGAATTGCTGTGCTTACGAAGAGGATTATGCGCACTTTTAGGTACTTAGCTCCATTATCAATTTCCTCCGCCCCCGAAGTGTTTAAATATTCATGCACTATGCGTATTGTTTGTTTAGCTTTGATAAATGCATAGAATCAATTTGTGCCAGTTTGACTTTGACCCTTCGTAATCGTGTGAATGATAGATGGACTCTTTATCGTTATGTCCAGGAAAAAAAATGTCGTCAAGTAGGTTGACTCTGCACTTTCCACGCAACACTAGTTCATGAAGGATTATGTTCAGCACAAGCTAGATTCTCTATAAAAAAAGTCTGTCTAAGAGGTCTGGACATTTAGTCTAAAGACATTCGTTCCCTGCCCTACCGGTAGACCACCTAATATATACAGGATGTCCCATTCGGACTTATAGAGCATGTAGGTCGGGTAATGATAAGCAAGATTTGCACACATATACCAAGGAAACCGGTATACATATTGTCCTATGTCAGATGGTACGATGTTTTGTGGTTCTATGACTATGTGAGTCAGTATACAAATCAGGCGTCGCGCGATGTGTAGGTTAACCTAGTCTGTAAACAAACCGCATTCTTACAATCGTGCAAAAACCGCCTGGGTGGACATTGTAGAAGACCTAGACAGCCTGAAACGTTGCAAATTTAGGAAGAAGTCAACAAACTCGAATTTATGAATCGAATAGCGACAACTGAAAGCAGTGATTAGAGCAAAACTTGGACACGGTGCTTATCCAACACATCTTGCTGGATTCTATATTATCGATTCCAACTTATGTGAACACTGCAACGTTGAGGGGAGCTTGGATCATCTATTTTTAGGCTGTTTAAAGTGTTCACCATAATGTGATCGACTCTACCATAATTCAATTGGCTTCGGCCTTATTAGACCATTTAATGTTCTTCACATTTCATCTTTGATGTTAAATGCTTGATAATTGAACTTTTAAAAATCTCTGCGCTTAAATTTTAGTTTGATTAGCTAGATATCCTCTGTGTAACTATCCTCTGTAATTCACCTACCTAACCGTGGCGTAATTGTTGTGTGTCATATTCTGAAAATGCCTTAATGGGCCCTTAGGCGAGAAGGGTGTATCGCTGTCTAATCCTATCCTCACTATTAGTTAGAGAAGTGATTTTTGTCAGCCACCTCACGGCTTGTTTTGCGATCCGTGATGTAGCCTATTGTATAAAAAGTATCTGGTTAATGGGACATAGTCCTAGTGCCATTAAAAAAAGCAGTGATTACAAACAAAACATGTGACAGGGCAGTTCTTAAAATTTCGTACCAAATAAATAGTCAGCATTTTCTTCAATTTCCTTATTACGTTTCCGATGCTGTTTTACCGCAAATTTTTCGTAGTAGTGTCTGAAAATTCAATAAAATGTATTGATAGCGGTTAAATTGCGTACGCATGCTGAAGATAGTTGTGATGAACAATCCTTGTATCAAGTCAACAAAACTCATATCTAGTTTTTGCTAATTAAATGTTTAGACCAAAAAATATTCTGTGTAACTGTTATGTCCAACGGACATATTATTATATTACCGTATGCAGAAGCACCTAAATAATAGAACGCCTTGCACTCATACCAAAAATTCAACATTTATAACCACCTATCCCACCAATGCCCCACTTCGTACTCCTACAAAAATTCTAGAAACGAGCAAGAGTTTCTAAAACGTTCGAAGTTTCAGTGATTATAATTGTCTCGTTTTCCGCCCGTAACTATGCTCACAAAGCTTTCCCGGCCTGCTGTGGTGATAACGTTGGGTTAAAGTCTCACCAAAATCGAGTTATTGAGGTGTCGACTCTTGCCGGCCAAACAGAAAATCCGACGGAAACATGGATTTTCTTATAATGCACAATGTCAAGTAACATCAAAAGAAATGTCACTTTTCGGCATTACTCCCATTTACAATACTTCTTCGCCAATAGGTGTAGAAAATAAATGCGATATTTCAAAAAACGTTAGAACAACGTATTTCTTGGATTCTATTTATCGGCCTGTCTGTCTGTCCAGTAGACCAAATCCCGAGTTTGGATTATTGTTGAATCGACTTCTTCTACCAATCTATCATAAAAAACACATCAGCTACTAGTCTATACAACTGATAAACATTATTATAAACCAGATACTGAAATTCAATCAGGTACCATTCTTCAAATAATAGTTTTCAAGTGGTTGATCACATAATTAGATAAATCTCAACCAAATATGAGTCTTGCGAAATGGATCAATGTTATTTATGAGCACTCAAATGACCATGTAGTATTTTCCCATTCATTTGTTGCCATAATCGCAAATATCGATGTCAATTTTATTAACGTTTTGTATTTCTTATCTACTGGAACCAAGTTTCAATAGAATATTACTCGTATCTCCTACCAATATTTCGAATACGTTAACATTTCTTGCAACCAATACTGTAACTATAAAGCCGCGTACAGGCCGCGATTACAACGCAAGCCAAGGCACATATGTGGTTACAGATTTGGAGGTGTTCGAATAGATATGTACAGCGCGAGCCGACATACTCGTAAGCCAATGGTTTCCAAAGTTGGCGTTGGCGTTCGATTGCGTTCGCTCATTGATCGGTCGTTCGACATTAGCACCGAACTAAACCCGAGACGGTCCAACTCGAAACTAAATTTATGGCACAAAGCTGGAACACATACTTTTTCTCAACGAAAATCTTAATTTTTATCGAAAACACATCTAGATTTGAGTAAGTTCATATTTTACATCACAAAATATGAAGACAACCGCTTGTGTTGTTCTTTTTACTGCCCATGTGCCCATACAATACCAGAGAGTCATACCGTAATAGTACACTGAGATAACGTGGTCAAGTAAACAGTTTTCCTGGAAAATTTTCATTACCCATAATGAATTTTTAAATTATTCTAAGTTGCTGAATCGTTTGGCTTAATTAAAAAGATTTTTCTGGGACCAGTTTAATTGAAAGTAATATACTATTAAGCTAATTTGCTTGAAAATAGCAAACATGTTCCTGTTTTACTAAACTGTTTTGTTAGTTTAGGAACCACTTATAGAAATACATATTAGCTATTGTAATAAATGCATTTATGACTTCTTGAAAAATACGGAAAATTATAGTGTATAGAAATGAATCGCACAATGCACAATCTCAAACTTGCCCGATAAAAGTATATAATACGGAAAACCTCAATGGGAATGTTTTTATTCATGTAGAATATTAAAATAGAATTACCTGATATACATAAGGTATATTTTGAATTTTTCCGAGTCATCCCATTATAATAAAACTGTATTGGTCGCCTATTGTTTTTTCGTTAGTGCAGTAGTTAGTCTCCAGAAAATGAGATTCCAAGAAGCAGTTTGAACGCAGTCATAAAGTTCTATATAGTGATTACATTTATTAAAAAAACATTAAGTATATACGCAACTATTACACAGCAAGAACGACATAGGGAGAAGAAACTGCACAATGTTACCTACTTGTTGTTATATCCAGATATTCAGTAAAACATGGTCCCGGCCTAAAATCGATCGTAAATGATTATTACCATTTTTTAGATCTATTTATACGAGTACGTAGAACGTTTTTCCTTGTACTAAGTAATAAGTGAAATTGCTAACCATTTGAAAAAAAATTAGACACTAGCGGCACGGGGACATACTTTTAAGATGTAAATACCTGGTAATGTAATCTAGTAAAAAATTGCGAATATTACGTCTCTACAGTTTTTAAATACGGCACTATTCCTCAAAAGCTCATATAAAGTTGGCAGCTTTTGTAAAACCTACATTGTCAATACTTTTCATTATGCTACTGCATATGTATGCTCTTTTTAGAAATAAAAAATTTGGGCTAGTATTTTTGTTGGCCTGTTGACCGTAATTTTCGGTGATTTTCGAAAAAAACACTTGTACAATCATAGCAGGACCCGCACCTAGTTTTTTTTTAAATGGATGCATTGCCATCGAAGCTTTACAAAAAACATATACTTAAAAACAACAAAGTCAGCAACCAAATACCTTTATTACAAGCAACTTGACTTGCTTTTATAAACAAAATTGAAATACTACAAAAATCAAAAAAAGAATCGATCTGAAGGATTTTCAACAATGCCAAGTCGACTGACCTATATTCTTTGGATCCGTGCATGCTGTTGCTCGCATCGACCAAACAACTAACCTACATGTGACTGGTCTTCAGATTATTGAAATCAGAAGGGAACTGTCATCAATTGAAAGACATAATGAAAGATGTCAGACACAGATGAAAACTTGGGGGATATACCTGCAGACGTAACTACCGAAGATGATGGAGAGACATCAGAAGGTGATAACATAGAGGAAGAAGAAGAAGCGAAACTGGACAAAAAGGAAGAGGATGTAGAGGAGGAAGCAGAGAAATATGCTGAAGAAGAGGCCGTTAAAGATGAATAGGAACCAGAGTTTTACGGTTCTAATCTTTATTTGTCGAAGGCGAGAGTTAGCCAGGATAGAACGTTGCCGTTTAACATTTTTGAGTTTCAGTATCCTTTAGAAACTCTAGCTTAAAATCTTATAGAAATAGTGTCTGAACAAGGTAGCTCACTTGAATTACATGTAAACAAAATTTGTGATGCATGCACCTAAGCTCTTTTGAAAAAATGCACGTTAAGCTAACACAGCACTTTATCCTAATTCAACTGCTTCGAACAAAAACCATAATGTCGTTCGTTGAGTTTTGTGGGGTTTAAAATTACGGAGAGCATGATTTGACATGAATATGTCCTCTCAGTTACGCTATCAACTGGGGAAAAGGTGTACTATGTAAATATTCAGATATAGGTCACATTTCATTATCCAAACTTCTTAGTGTGTACAAAGCACAAAAGAGGCCTGGTTTAGAATTCTTTAACACATAATCACAAGAAGATTTCTCATTGATAAGCAGTTTGTGATCTTGAGCATTCCTACCGATATACTGACGGAATTCAATTATGTGAGCTCTGCACTCTCATGCTTTGACGCTTTCTGTGTCCGTTAAGCTAGTGCTGTTTTCTCGGGATTGTAAGTT